TTTGCTCTACAGCCGGAACGGCTGCGTAGGAATCGGTCGTTGTGTCTGACTGTCTGATTCAACCCAGTCATCATTAATTAGTTACAGTCCTACCCCGGGGTGCGCCTAAACACCCCCCCAAAACCCCCCTAATATTAAAGCCAAACCGCCGAAATCCAGTTTTAATATTAGGGAAGGGGGGGGGGAGGGGGCCCTTTAATAATAGGGGGAAGGGATTAATATAGGATCCATGTTGAGCCTAGCACTCTAGTATAGGGTTCTCAGACCTTTGGCCACGATACCCAAATCAGCGGACGTCAAAATACCCGTATTGACAATGCCACTGATCTCGATCTCACATGGTCCCAATGCGTGTTGCAATGCCGTGTCGCCGGGGCAACGGGCAAGGGTCAAGGTATCCAAAAAAGCCGCCGGTATGACAGAGGCCAGTCTCTGTCCCATAGCTTGCGACGGAACGGTCGGCGCATGACTAACGAACGGCCTTCGCTCCCCCTCTCAGCCGGTCCATGGCTTGTAAACAACATGGCACAGGGAACCTGGCTGAGTAATATGTGTTGCCTTGGCCATGGTACAAGCAAACGACCTCCATCTGCGTTTGCAGTACCTTGGCGTGTGCGACAGCCTGCAGGATCCATCCACACACACACACACACACCCCGGAACTCCTGTCGGCAACTTTGGCAGCCGGGATAAAGGGTGATAAGGGTGCACAAGGGCTCGACAAGTGTGCTATCAGGGTTCGCAAAGGCTACTGTGCGGGTTTGGGTGTTTTGGGTTCACTTATAGTTTAAAATGTGGCCCTGAAATACCTTTATAGGAACGCCTAAACCTATACTTTACGTACAATGCATACACGGACCCCTACGATCCCTTAGGATAGCTGGAGGCTATAGGCCGTTAGGACTTTAGGGTCTCGGGTCTTAGGGTCAGCGCTTATGGCTTGAAGGTTGAGGTCTGGGGCTTAGGGCTGAGGCGGCTTATGGATGTTTCGGGTCCACCGAAAGCTGCCTGGCTTCCACAGTGAAGCCCCAAAGCCCAGGGCTCTTTGATTCTGGAGGTTGACGGAACCTCCCCTCGGTATCTCCCAAAGCCTACGCCCAAAACGTCGAAACTTCAACACCCACAACGGCCCACAACCCGAAGTTTCGGGGTGAGAAAACCGGGTATATCCTGGCCAGGCTCCAGACCCCACGGTGTAGGTGAAGATCATGCTGCAGGTAATGACCACGAAGAGGAGAGGGTACACGATGATGCCAAACTGGGATTGCGGAGGCGGCATGTCTGCATCTCTACGATAACTCCCCACCGAACCCGCAACCCTCCTCTTCTAGAGTTGTAACTACATACATCCCTCCATAACACCATCGAATATACAGGGTCCTTCATAAATATTAGAACCAGGTTGTCGGTTCCCTTCCAGCAAGGCATGGGTAAGTTTCATCGACAGGTCATGTGAGCTTTTGCCAAATGCCGCTGCAATATGTAGACCCTAAACCCAAAACCCTGAGAGGTAGACCCTAAATCCTAAACCCTAAACACTAAACCCTAAACCCTGAAAGGTAGACCCTAAACCCTAAACCCTAAACCCTGAAAGGTAGACCCTAAACCCTAAACCCTAGACCCGGGGCAATTTGGGCTGAGGCTTTGAATTTGGGACTTTGAGGGCCCTGGACCCTACAGGGTTGAAAGACATGCAATGCAACTGTGGACCCTACCGGCTTAAAGTGTTAGGGTTGACGCGTTTTGTGATTCTAGGTTTGAGGACTTCGGGCTTCAAAGCGTTTAGGGTTTTTCGGGTTGTAGGCCGGCTTACGCCCCTTTTCTGGATCGAAACAGCGAACCATTAGTTTAGGGAACTGGTCGCAAAACAGCTGTGGGGCTTACTCTGGTACTGCGCAGAATCGGAGAAAATTGCAGGTTGACGCCACGAGTCTCTGCCCAGCTACCCACCCTCGGACACCGACAGCCCTAACCCCTCAACCCTAAAACCTGAACCCGAAATCCTAACCCCTAAACCCTGAACCCTAAACCCTGAACCCCAAAGCTCTTTCATCCGGGGTCCCCCACGAGCACGAAGCCTTGTATTTGCAACCTGCCGGTAGCGAATTGCCGAAACCCTGAACCCCTAAATACTAAACCCCAAATAATTCCTAAAGACCTAAACCCTAAACCCCTATATAACCCTAAACCCCTAAATAACCCTAAAAACCCAAACCCCAAACCCCTAAATAACCCTAAACCCTACACCCCTAAAACCCTAAACCCCAAACCCCTAAAACCCTGAAACCCATGGCTGGGCTTCAGGGCCTTCGGACCTTGGGTGCATGCTTTTTTGGTTTACCTGAACCCCAAATAACCTACCCTTTTTGGGGTTTAGGAGTTTAGGGTTTAGGGTTCAAACAACCTACCCTTTTTGGGGTTTAGCAGTTTAGGGCTTAGGGTTTTGAAGGGATTTTAAGGACCGTTGATTATGAGATCATAAGAAGGAAGCCTGCCAAAAAGCAAGGTGTTGTGAGACTTAGGGTGTAGGAGCTTCGGGCGTAGGGTACAGGATCTCGGGCTTAGGCATGTAAGGCTCAGGGAGGTTCTTGGGCGACATGGGCTTCAGAATCTTGGCTTTCCGGAATCACGTGTGGGGTCTAGAGAGTCGGGATTGAATTTAGGGAGTTTGGGGAGTTTAGGGTTAGGCTTGCGTCAAGGCTTCAGAGTAGAAGGTTCAGAGATGCAGCTTAGGAAATACTTGACTTGGGGTCCTTGATATTGTGAACGGGGTTTCGGGGGATGACATAGGAGAAGTATCAGTGTAACCAGGAACCGTAAGGAATACTCTGTGCCATTATTCAAGCCCTATATTATCTACTACAGTCTGAAAGGGAGCCCTGATAAAATAAACACAATCTAGTGGATTCTGACACAAACGGTCCATGTATCTATGCGGTGGGAGCCCGAATAAACTGTCTAGGGTTGTGGGGTTGATTGTATCATACTCTTCTAAGGACGAGATGGGGATCATTTCCGACAGGAAGAAGGCTGAGGCAGTTCTATGACATGTACGCCAGCGGAGATGTCTTCTCTGCATACTTCGGGATCAGTATAGGGTCACCGGTTGCAGCCGCCACAATCGGTTTAGGGTTTAGGGCTCAGGGGACTCAAAACCGGGGCCTAGAGCGTTGGGGATTTACTTCTGCCATGATTACGATTTGTACTAGAGTCACGACAGTAGATATCATTATAGGTGCTAATTTGACTATATTCGTCTGGCATCGTATGACTATAGTGATGGTTCGTTCTGACATTGAATTTTATCCTTATTGTTCAACTTTAATAACAAGATATATTATGACGATGTTCATGATTACTGCCAATAATATCTCAACTACTCATCTTAATAATGCACTCAGTCCCTACATTGCCCTACGTTCGTCGTTCAGGGAGGGGCCTGCTGCAGGGCCGGGATTTAGGGCAGGCAGGCACCTCGATGGCTTCCAGAAGAAGAAAGTGACGACGCAACGCCTGAGAAGGGGTTTAAGGGTTTGGAGGTTGAGGGCTTTAGGGTTTTGAGCCTTTAGGGGTGT